TCTCTCTCTATATATATATATATATATAGAAAGAGAAAGAGAAATAGACTTGTTTCACTCGATAACTTGTATTTTATATCAAATTTTAATAATTTAATTGTTGAATTAAAAATTTTTAATATATAAATCAAGGCATATTCGTTAAAAAATTTAAAATTATTTAATATTTTGTTATATAAATTTAAATTAACGTATAAAATATTTGTATGATTATCTTGATTTGAATTAATAAAATAAAGTATTAAATGATTTTTTAAATTAAATAAAAAAAATAAAAAAAAGCTTGAAAGTATAACCTGTATGTAGGAGGGTTCTTAGGCCAGAAGCGATAATTAATGTCTGAAGGTGGCGATATCTTGTGGAATAAATGATCTACCCAACCTTTCTTGTTATTCACGTCCTTTTGAAGCTTTGTGCCATAACCTTCAATAGATGGAGAGTTCTCAGGCTTAGCGTATTGTTCCTTTTCTTCTTGTGGCAACTCAAAGAACTGTTTTCCCACGGCTTGAAGTTTTTCTATAACTTGGCTTGGTATCTCATGGTTCACAATTTGGAACATGCCCCAGTCACGACTTGCCTCCATAATCTCATGCAACACCTTATCTTCATCAGGCTCACTAAAATCAATTATAGGAACCTCCAATTGGGTTCCATGAACAGTTGTCTTGCCTGGTTGCTCTGTCTCTAATCTAACAAACTCAGTAGGAATGCTATCCTTCGACTCAGAAGCTACACGTTGCACCCTCAATTCCTCCATTCTTTTTCTTCCTATAATCTTCCCTTGTTTAGTTTTCCTCGAGTTTGCTGTCTTAATAATCAAATGAGAAACGTATCAAATAAGATACACCACGTTTAACCGTATATAAATAGCATAATTAGGCAACCCAAAATTGTTGATTTCTAATTAATGAGTAGGTGCAATCAAACAATGCAAAAGGATGTACAATTGCATGTTACCTGCATGAACGGCAACATTTTTTAGCTATACTTATAATTGCTATAGGTGAGCACCCCACAATTGTCGATTTCTAATTAGTGAGTGGGCGCAATGAAAGACGGCATACAATTGCACTTGCATGAATGAGAAGGCTTTTCTCCGCTGAAAAGCATGTTAAATCCTGTTAGTGTAAAGTATTTTACACTCACAATCAATCATATCTTCTAAATTATTTTATTTTATTTTTATTTAATTAAATAAGCAAATAACATAGTACTATTAAGAGATATGATTGATTATCAGTATAAAAAAACTTTATACTCTCGGTATATAAGTAATTAACTCTAATATATATAGATATATATTTGCTCGAGTATGTACGATGCATTAATTGTATTGTACTAGCTTACATAACATCTAAGTTGGTTCAATATGAACTTTGATTCTGAAATTTAAGTCCAGATGGGTGCTTATTCTAACTTCCAAGAATAATTGTAAGACATCAAACTTTCTGAAAATAATAAAGGTATTTTTTTAATTAATAAAATGTATCTTATAAATAATATGACAGATTTTAAAATAAGGATAAAACTTAATTATAATTTCTTAACTAAGGTCACTACAAGAAAATTATTATTATCTATGGAATATTATTTATGAAATTTTTTTTATAGATAATGTTTAGTTATCAAAGGAATATTACCTACAAAATTTTTCCTGTAAATAATGTTTATTTATCTACGGAATATTACCTACGAAATTTTTTTAGTAAATAATGTTAGTTATGTATGGAATATTACTTACGATTTTTTTTGTAGATAATGTTAATTTATTCTAAAATTTTTAGAATATTTAAGTTAACATCATTAAAAAAAACACCTTCAAATGAGTTCAAGAAACTCATCAATTGTTGAAGTTGGTTGTTATTGGCTGAGTTTTGAGGAAAAATGGAGTTTTCGGGGTTTTGGGGTTTTTGAAGAAAATTTGGGTTTTTCTTTCAGCTAGCAACCCGAATCTACTCCACACCACCACCTTGAGACAGAAATTTGAGGAGAAGAACAAAAGGGAAAATGAGAGAGTGAAATATGAAAGTGAGAGTTTAGAGAGAAAGTGAGTTGGGAAAAAACAAATCCGTACGAGGTCTCACACATAATACTATTAAAAGATATGATTGTATTAATACAAATGGAATATAACGAAAGAAAGATTTGAAAACCTCCACTTTTATTTTTTTGTTGACGACGAAATTCCAGATATATAAATAAAAAATAATAATTAATTACTTTCATGCAAGCTTTAATATAGCTTTTTTTACAGAACACTGAATACATTCATTTTGCTCGTAAATTGAAGAAGACCGCCAATACTTCCAACATAAATTGAATATAGAACAAAACAAACATTTATTAGTATTTAGTAGTATATTTGTATCAGATTAATTATTTTTATTTATACCATTTTATCATTAATAAAATAAATACTTTTTTCCCAAAAATAAACAGAACGTGATAAATAATAATAATAATAATAAGATAAGTATCATCTTACTAAATAAAATGGGTTATATAAATCACACACTATACTATTAGAGATAATTAAAGACCAAACCATTAATCATCCGACCATAACCGAGCAATCGAGCATGTTATAAAAACAGGATTAACTTCCAACATTATTTTGGATGAAATGAAAATTGGAATTTAAATTGTGAGACCCCTACTCCGTTCCCTCTTCTTCCCCAACTCCTTTCTTACTCACTTAAGATACACTCTCCTTCCTTTCTCTCATTCTCTCAATTGCTGAACCCTTGTGCTGATTCTGGTACTGACTAGAGCTTTTTGGGTTGCTGGACGAATTTCCTTTTCTCCACGTCGGGTTTCTTCTTCTCTCGTTTCAAGCCTTCTTCTTTTTCGTTGGATTCTCCCCGAAGCTCGGATTCTTGTGCCGAGGTAAGGGAAGCTAGAAAATGGAGATTTTGTTTTGCATGTTAAGTTGTTGAGTAAATAGAGGCTTGATTATGGAAAAATTGTAAATGGGGGGATGAATCCGAAGTGATTTTCATGTTGAACATTGGGGGTTTTTGGTTTCTTGATGGAAGGTTGAACATTTGTGTTTTTTTTTCTTTCTTTCTTTTTTGTTTCTTGAGTTTTGGATGCATGCATGTGGTGATTTTTGATGTTTTTGGGTTGCATGTGGTTGGTAGTATTGCATTTGAGTTGTAGCATGGACTGTGGTTCCTTGGATTGTAGGTTCATGGAGGTTTTGGGTGAAAACGGAGGTGAATTCCATGGAGTTTTTGGAAGATCAGAAACTCACAGCTATAGTCGTGGAATCACAGCTATAGCTGTGGAAGAAAAATGCACTTGTAGAAACCTACAGCTATAGCCATGGATTCACAGCCATAGCCGTGAAAGGGGAAAAACGTGATGGCAGAGACTT